AATTAAAGAAAAAAATAGTAGAGGGAGGAAAGATGATGTCTAAGTGTGATGTCTAAGTATGTAGAGGCAGGAATTCTTTGAGGCTTGCACAGTGGAACTACATACTTCTTCATCCATCACCTCTCATTAGCATGTTAACTCTCCACCTGGGGTGTGTTTTTACTATTATAATGAGGGTAAGGTTATGAAACGGTCATTCTGGGACTAAACCAAGCATTCATTAGCATCCCAGAAGGCTTGTTGCCTAATAAGGCGTTACACTACAATTACTGGGACCGTTCTTTCTGGCCACTGATTGGGTGTAGGGTTTGAGGGTCAAATGATGAAAATCTAATCTCATCTAGAAGAGGCTCAGCCTGTCTCATATATACACAATAGAAAGTGACTTAACCATAAAAAAGAAGGAAACCTTGCCATTTGCGACAATGTGGATGGACCTTAACAATGATTTTCAAACTTTTTCACCTCATGGTACAAATAAACTAATTATTAAAATTCTGTAGTACACCAAAAATATATTTTTTGTCTATCTGACAAAAAATGGTTTAATTCTGACTGATTTACCAAAAAAAATAGTAATTACCCACCGTTTTTGCTCCAAAGTGGCTTTTAAAAAAATCAGCTGTCTATACTTGTATATAAGGATTTCTGATACCAAGAATTAACCAATTAGCTGCAACCTTATTATGGCACGTGACCAATAAGATGCAACTCTGTTCTATGACCTATATATTTATGGTTCAATACAGGGCATTCACACTGGACAGCTATTGTTATGTTAGCTGTTGTCATTTTTTTATTTAACAATCTAAGGGAAAATAGGTCAGTGTCCCTGAGTAAACAGTCAGGTATTGCACGTTTTAAAAATTCTTGGAGCACATGGGTGTGCCATGGCACACCAGCTGAAAACTGCTGTGCTGAATGGAATAAGCCAGTCGGAGAAAGACAAATGCCATATGGTTTTACTTGTATGTGGAATCTAAAAAATAAACAAACAAGCAGAACAGAAACAGACTCAGAGATACAGAGAACATTTTGACAGTTGCCAGATTGGGGGTGGGGTGAGGGATGAGTGAGAAGGTGAAGCGATTAAGTACAAGTTGGTAGTTACAGAAGTAGTCATGGGAATGTAAAGTACAGCATAGGAAATACAGTCAATAACATTGTAACAACTATATATGGTATCAGATGGATACTGGATTTATTCATAAATTATATATAAATGGCACCCTGTCTGGTGTGGCTCGGTGGATTGAGTGCTGGGCTGCGGACCAAAAGGTTGCTGGTTCAATTCCCAGTCAGGGCACATGCCTGGGTTGTGGGCCAGGTCTCCAATTGCAGGTATGTGAGAGGCAACTGATTCATGTTTCTCAAATCAGTATTTCCCTCCCTCTCTTTTTCCGTCCTTTCCCCTCTAAAAATAAAATAAAATAAATTATATAAATGTCTAACCACTGGGTTGTACACCTAAAACTAATATACTGTATGACAACTATAATTAAAAAATAAAAAACATACTTTAAAAATTCAAAAAATATTTAGTTTTTAATCTTGCCATTTTTCTTTCTTAATCAAATATTATCTATCAAACTTTTGTCAAAATTGAAAAGCAACACCTGTAAAATTTAATAGTAATTTTAGGAATATACCTGTGTATGTGTGGCTCAGTTGGTTGGGTGTTGTCCTGCAAAGCGAAGGGTGGCTGATTGATTATGGGTCAGGGCACATGCCTGGGTCACAGGTTCAATCCCTGGTGCAGGGTGGGGGTAGGAGCCATATGAGAGGCAACCAATCAATGTTTCTCACATTGATGTTTCTCTCTCCTTTACCCTCTCTCTAAAAATCAATAAATAAAATCTTAAAAAAAAATAATGTCAAATATAGTACTGGAACTACACAAGATTCAAATTCACAGTATAAAATAAGAGTAATTTTGAGCAGTGAATGATAAATTGAGGTATTAAAAAGCTATAAAAATAAATATCTTTGATGTATATTCAGATACGTCAGAGCTTAGTGTGGTATTTTGTAATTTATTTAATAATCATGTTTACTCAATTCATTTTACTGCAATGAACAATTGAACAAAAAGCCGTCAACTTTATAAGAAGATGAGGTGCTTCTTGATTAGGTAACAGATTAAATAAGGCTTGACAATGGAACGTTTTGCAAGTAAAGCCAAAGTAACCAGTTAGATTATCCTTGTTAAAAGTACGTGTACATTAGATATATCTTCCCAGGCAAGGGAAACAAAAGAAAAAATAATGAAATGGGACTACATCAAACTAAAAAGGTTTTGCATAGCAAAGGAAACCATCAACAAAATAAAAAGACAACACACAGAATAGGAGTCAACATTCGCAGATACATCTGATAAGGGGTTAATATCCAAAATTTATAAAGTACTTACAAAACTCAGCACCAGAAAAACAAATAGCCCAATTAAAAAATGGGCAAAGAACCTGCCTGAATAGACACTTCTCCAAGGAGGACATACAGATGGCCAATAGACATATGAAAAGATACTCAATGTCACTAATCATCAGAGAAATGCAAATTAAACCGCAATGAGTTACCATCTCACACCTGTCAGAATGGCTATCATCAATAAACAAACAAACAAGTGGTGAAGAGTACATGGAGAAAGGGGAACTCTTTTGCACTTGTTGGTGCGAATGCAGACTGATGCAGTCACTGTGGAAAGCAGTATGAAGATACCTCAAAAAATTAAAAATAGATCTGCCTTTTGATTGAGCAATCCCACTTCTGGGAATATATCTGAAGGAACCCAAAACATTAATTCAAAAGAACATAAGCACCCTTATGTCCATTACAGCATTATTTACAATCACCAAGATATGGACGCAGCCCATGTGCCCATCAATAGAGTAGATAAAACAACTATTGGACATTTACATAATAGAATACTACTCAGCCATAAAAAAGAAGAAAATTTCACCCTTTGTGACAGTATGGATGAACCTGGAGAATATTATGCTAAGTGAAATAAGCCACTCAGAGAAAGACAAATCCCATATGATTTCACTCATATGTGGAATTGAACAAACTGAACTAACAAGGGAAATGGTGACAGACTCATAGATGGAGAGCAGATGACAGCTAGTGGGCAGCAGGGGAGGTAAGGGGGTGGAGGGATTGAGCAAAAGGGAAAAAGGATTCGTGGACATGGGCAACAGTGTGGTGATTGCTGGGGGGAAGGGGAAATAAGGAGACTAATGATAATGGAAAAAATATAATAAAGAATTTTAAAAAAGAAAAAAAAGTACGTGTAGTTTGGAAGCTGGCTGTGTGCAACTTCCTGAAAGCATCCAAAATGCAGAAAACAACAAAAATTGGGTTAACTTGTTCCTGATTTGACATTACTATTCTTTTCACTTCAAGTTGCTGAACAGATCACAAAATTCCAAAATTAGATCTAGCAACTCAGATTTACAGATTTAAAACAGTGATAGGATTTCATTAAGACCTTGATAATCAAGTGGATAGCTTATTTAATGTCCAAGTAAAATTAAAATTATATAGCTATTTACTCTAACAATGTGACTATTTACATTAATCTTGCCTGTTAATCAACTTTCAGCAGGAGAGTACAACACACTTAAATGATTGCTCAATAAAAGCATAATTTTTTTACTGGATATATACATATAAATATTAATTTAGTTGAATCTTAAAATTACTTTTTCACCGTTCCTCTTGAATTCTTACTCCAATGGTTTCTTAAGCAGAAAAAATCCTTTTAAAAACAGATTAAGGCAACAAGCCTTAATTAAGGAGCATTTGACTTCTTGCTTCCCAGCAAATGTTGTCAGTTTGGGCTCAAATAAACTCTTATAAAGATTTGAAAAACAGCCCTGGCCTGTGGACCAAAAGGTTGCCAGTTTGATTCCCAGTAAGGGCACATGCCTGGGTTGCCGGCCAGGTCCCCACCTTGGGGTGTGCAAAGGGCAAGCTGATTGTTTCTCTCTCTCTCCTTCCCTTATCCTCTCTAAAAATAAATATTTTAAAAAATGATTCAAAAATAAATAAAAGTAGATAATGATATAGCTAACCAAAATTTAAAGACACAATATATTAAGTTATTGAATGCTTCAGGTTATTACAATTAAGACTGAAACAATAGCATATTGTAATTTGAATTCATTTGCACTAAATTAAATTATTAACTGTCATTTCTACTTCTCTGTATTTTCGAAAAACTCATATTGTTCTCTAATATTAATCAAAACAGGAGTAATCTCAGTTTCTAGCATTTGGCTCTTGGGAACAACTTTTCTTACATCTCCAAGGGCTAAAAAAGGGGGGGGGGATATTGAGAATATAGAAATTTGTCATCTCCCAAGAGCCAAGGGGATTTATTTATTTATTTATTTATTTATTTATTTATTTATTTATTTATTTTTACTAGCTTCAAAGGGGTACAATTAAACTGCTAGGTAAAGCTCAAAGGTCTTTTTTATATTATGGTTCGACGGTTCTCCGCTTCTCTTTGTATTCCATTTTAGCTTCCACAGTTCTTCCTCCTAGCCTCCTCACTCGCTCCTCCAGGCCCCGTTTCTCCTACGTTTCAGAGTTGTGCTCTCTCGGATAAGAGAAGTCCCACTATTTTCAAACCCTCTGTGTGCCAGCATGGGTCCCCTACCGACTGCCAAAGCCGCAGCCTCTCCCCTTTTCTGCTCCCACCTGCCACCGCGGGAGGAAGCACCTGGCGGCCTCGCGGGGCCGGGTGCACGCCTAGAGAGGCGTGGCGCCCCTTACGACCGCGCAGTGGGTGGGGGAGGGGAAACGGCTCCCTTCCCCCGCCCCCGCCCTCGGACAGTGACTCATCGCGGAGAACCGACGGGCAGAGGTGAGCAGCCTCGACTGGCGCCGGGAGGCGGGGCCGCCAGGTCTTGCAGGTTGCTCCGCTCCGCCCTGCGCCCATAGTTCTCGGTCTTTCGGACAGCTTCCTTCTTACATCCGGACCGGGGGAGCATCTCGCACTGGTCTGCTGCACGCTTGCACCCCCGGGCCTTCCAGCGGGCTCCTCTCGACTCACTCCTTCCTCGCTCCCTCCTGCTCGGCGCGCGTGCAGCATGGCGCACCCCCAGCTCCTCGCGTTCGGGTTCCTACTCGCTGCGGCGACGGTAGTGGCCGCGGCTCAGAATGGTAGGGAGCGGAATTGTGGGGTCGGCCTGGGCCTGGGGTAGGGGTTTGCTGACCTCAGGCACCTGAGACGGAGATTGTGGGGAAGGAGAGGGCTGCCGTACTTTGCCGTCTGGAGGTCCTACCGCTCAGGGGTGGTGGCGGGAAGGCGGCCGTTTGCGCTGGCCGGCGGCAGCAGCCTCCCTCAGCCGCTTTGCACTCCTCTCTAGGGAAGTGGCCCAGGGCGTGGACGGAGGGGCAGGCAGGGAACGGAGTGGCTGTGTCCGGTAATCCTTCAGACTGTGCGATAAGGGTGGGGTCAGGGAGCACTGGGGGTTCTGCAGTGGCGGAAACTAGCTCGGCCCGGGAGGGGAGTCTGCGACGGCGACCTGCAGTCCGCCCCTCCCGGAGCAGCTGCGGCGGGCCGGGATGTCGGTCTCGGCAGGGAACAGGTGGTTGCATAGAGGCCCGGGGCCGCTCGTCACCTGCGCGCTGGAGAAAGTCCTCCTAAACCTTGACTACAAGGCGTGTAGGTGGTTTCCTTTTTGTGAGGAACATATAAGTAATGCCAAGTTTATTGTAGGGAACCCAGAAATATCGCGCCACTTAAAGAGAATCGTATAATCAGTAATAGCGTGCATTTTTTGTTTTAAACACTGCCCTAAATCTAAACAGTTTTGAATCTTGATTTTTTGGGGGGGGGGGGGTTTGAAAAGCACGATTTAAATGGTGACGTAACACTGTATCTTGGAAGGTCACACCGTTATCCAAATGTCGGGCATATAGTTTGATTCTAGTGTTTCTTACTCTGGGATAAACATCTTGGCCTCTATCGTTTGTAAAATGGTGGGCAGAAGTGACAGGGCAATTGGCCAAAGTTTTCTGGAAAGATTTTTATACCCTCACCAGCAGGGTATAACCTAATTAATTATACTTTAAAAGTTATGTGGTTTTCTAGATTACTTCTGGGGCTAAATATTTAAATCCTAAATTGCTTTAAAGTGATGATAGCCAATGTTCAGAAAGTCTGTACCTGTTTGGTGTGTTTTAAAATTGACATTGCTTGGACATAAAAAATGTGCTTCGAGCAGGTATAGGGCTGCATCAGATTTTAACTTCTTGAGAAGGACCACTATACTTCATTCGTGACCCTAATGAGTGTAGAGCTGGTCAGATTATGTAGGTGGTTAGCACTGATTATAATTTAAACAGGAAAAAATTAAAGCTACCTAGAGACCTGAAAGATCAATATTCTTTGGTTTGTCATAATATTTTTTGTTTTTAATGATTGTACTCTCTTAGATGAAAGAAATTAGGTGGGCTTGCCTATTTGAAGTTAAAATTTACTTTTGAGATAGTCAAGGATATAGCTATTAAACTGACATCAATACTCAGGATGCGCAGCAACGTTGAGTACTAGGATTTACTTAGGTTAGGAAGCCCACCTACTGAGGTGCTACCAAATTCAATTTAAAGTATAATTTTTCTAAGATGTAATTACAGTCCAAGGACTGAATATGTTCCCATTAAGCCCAAAAGCAAGGAGGAAGGAAGGGTATGGAACTGCTGATTTTTGAAGAAGAGGCGGTAACTGACAGGCAAAGGTTTACCTTGGTAGGACAGGGAAGAGGGAGGGCGCTGACGCGGGAGTATCACAAAGGCCAAGCTTAATGTGATGTTGGATTCTTGATTAAAAAAAAATCAAAATGGGAATGCGTGCAAATTAGACTGTATGTCTATATAATATATACAAGTTATGTCAGCCACTCTAATTATAGCTGAAAAAGAAAACATTCAGAATCACCTTTTAAGGCTTCGTGTCCCTGTGACTTAGGCACTATTGTAAGACCATGATTTAGCTGGGATACCAGAGTTGAGAGTCAATTCACATTTTAAAGTGGATTTTTTTTCCCCCTTAGAATGTATCTGTGAAAACTACAAACTGACCACAAACTGCTCTCTGAACCTAAATGGTCAATGCCAGTGTACTTCAATTGGTACACAAAATTCCGTCATTTGCACAGAACGTGAGTAGAGTATCTTTGTTGCCTTTAAACTTTATTTTGACTTCTATTTCTTTAATGGATGTATTTTGAGTTGGGAAGCCTTTTATTGGCTCAAAACTGAATTGTGTTATTTTGTCAATTATCTCATACCTGAAAGCTTCTCATCTTAAGAAAGTGAGTGTAGCACATGTGTAAGTCTACAGTAATCTTTGGCCCTGGGAGTTAAATTAAAATTTCTTTTCCTTAAGCTAATAAAATGGCAGTTATTTTTCAGTATAATGTTAAGTTTGTTTTGTTTTTTGGGGTTTTTTGGTAGTGGCTTCCAAATGTTTGGTGATGAAGGCAGAAATGTCTCATTCAAAGTCTGGGAGAAGACCGAAACCTGAAGACGCTATTCAGAACAATGACGGGCTCTACGATCCTGACTGTGATGAGCACGGGCACTTTAAAGCCAAGCAGTGCAATGGCACCACCACGTGCTGGTGTGTGAACACTGCTGGGGTCAGAAGAACAGATAAGGACACTGAGAAAACCTGCTCCGAACCAGTGAGGACCTAGTAAGTTGGGCTTTCTACATCACTTGTTTTCATGCTTTTCAGAGTTGCTTAATTAAACTTATTTTGCTTAAGTAAACTTATTATACATTTTGATGATTTAGAGTCAAAAAATAGAAAAGGGTGTACAGTGAAAAGTCTCCATCCCGCCTCAGTTATCCAGTTTACCTCCGCAAAACTGACGTCACCAGTTTATTCTATAACCTTCCAGAGATATTTTATGAATTTACTAGCAATATACTTTTATTTTTTATATATATTTTTCTTACAGTAGTGTACTAAACACACTCAAGCTAGCATAAGCAAAAAAGAATTTATTGGCAAGAAGTAGAAACTGAAAAGGTATCAAAACCAAGAAAGACATTCTCTACGCTTCTGTCTTACGGACCCTCAAGGTTACTTTTCTGTTATTCTCAGCACCTTTCTGTGTCTTCACCTGAACATTGCCCAATGTGACCAGCTAAGCCTTGACCCCACATGACCTTGCATGTTGTGGCCAGAGGGTCAGAGATAAAAGGGTGTTCCCTCCTGGATGAGTTTGTGTTTTTGTTGTTTTTTTTTTGTTTTTTCCCCAAATTCAAGGAAAAGTTTATTTAGAAAGCCACAGAAGTAGGAGAAATGAGTCGTAAAAGAAGTGGGCTCAGGAAGCAAGTTATAGAAGCAAAAGAGGGGCCCTTGGAACTTAGGAGAAAGAGAGGCCTGGGGGAAGGGTGTGGGGAAAGGTGTGGTCATGGGGGAAAGGCTTGGGCAAGTAGCTCCATAGAGAGAGCTGCTGTATGAATTCTTTATGAAAGATATGTGTGGTCCAAGGAGGAAATTAAAGGTCTATCGATTGCATAAATCCTTTTTGTTACCTCTACTAGCTTATTAAGAATATAATATAAAAGTCTGAGTTGTTATAGTTAATACTGTCTTTTTACTTTACAGCTGGATCATCATTGAACTAAAACACAAAACAAGAGAAAGACCTTATGATAGTCAAAGTTTGCAGGCGTAAGTGCTATTAAATGCATTATGTTTACACAGTTGGTGCTCAAATTTTACATCCTACATTAGAAAAACTAAAACAAGTCTCAATGGTTTGGGGGTTTTTTTCGTATTTCTTAAAAAGATACTATACATGAAACTTTTAACCTTATTTTGAAATGGAGTTGTAAGAATAGTACAGATTTTTGTAGAGCCCTTCACTTAGATTCACCAGTGAGTTTTTGCCATATTTTTTCTTTGTATGTGTATGTGTGTGTGCTTTGTATATCTTCTATCTAGCATGTATACTTTTTCCTAGAACCAGGTAAGAGCAAATTGTAGACATTGTGCCCCTTTACCACTGAATACTTTAATATATCTTTTCTTTGAAACAAAATGCATTCTCTTACATAACAACTATATAATTAGCAAATTCATAAAACTTATCCATACTGTGCTAGTTTTCCCAATGTTGTCCTTCCTAACTTTTTTTTGTCCTGTGACCCAATGGAAGATCGTGCATTGCATTTAGTTTTATGACTGTTTACTCTCTGTAATATGGAACACTGTTTTGGCCTTTTTTGTCTTTTGTGACCTTGATATTTTTGAATAGTATGGGCAAACCGTTTTATAGAATGTCTCTCACATTTGGTTTGTTGTTTTCTCATAATAAAGTACATGTTATGTTTTTTTCCTCCCTTGGTTTATTACCAACATTTACAAAATCAATTCTGGGGAAAGTACTAGGTCTCTGGATATAAGCATGGTCTTAATATAGCAAATGTCAAGTCAACTTTTTGACAGGAAAAAAACCACTTAAGTGATATTACGTAGTCCAAAGTATTTCACATCAGGAAGTACATGATGTCCTCTTGTCCTTGCACTGATGATGCTACCTGTGGTTAAGGTGGTGTCACCAGGTTTCTCCACTGTAGAGTTACCATTTTCCTCTTTTTAATTAATAACTATAGTCTGTGGGTGGGTACTTAATACCCTGTTTCTAATCAAAGTGGAACTCAACAATTGAGCATCAGTGGATGATTCTTGCTTGAATCAAATATTTGCAAAGTGGCATAACATCAACAAGTTTGATTAATGACAGTTCCAGGCTTTGAGCTGTTTAGTTAATACAGTACCTCTTAATGTTGTATAATACAAACATTCTTTAAAAAAACATGATCTTTATTTACAGGGCACTCAAGAATGTAATCACAACTCGTTATCAACTGAATCCAAAATATATCTCAAATATTCTGGTAAGATTTTGTTGTTGTTGTTGTAGTTGTTGTTGTTTTAAGCAAATGAGCTCTGGCAGAAATTGGTGAAATGGTATGTTTTGGATCTGATTTTTGGTGGTGATTAAATTTGCATTTGAGTAGTAATTTCAGCCCTGGGCACATCATAAAACAGATTCCCTGTTTTGTTTTTCTTCCAGAGCCTTTGAAAACCTGTTTTACCCTTAAAGAAAATCTAGTGTTTCTTAGTATCCCAAACACATGCCAGTCTTCTTGCCCTGGAAAACTGCTCTCTGTGATTGCCGTTGACACACATTTACTTGAGGGGGCTTAGCTCCCATTGCCTTTGGGGCTTAGCTCCCATCGCCTCTGGTTTCAGGAGCTAGTCCTTTTACAAGTTAGCCCTTCCTTAACTTTTTCAACTCTGGTTGCAAAATGCTTGAATAGTGCAATGGAACTCTTTGAGAGCTGTATGAATTTATTCTTCAATCCCACTAGATTAAAGTTGATATTTTTAAAAAGACTTTTTAGAAGATATACTTTTTTGCTTCCTAAAGCAGAATGTGGTAAATGCATACTGCTTTTTGGATTGCATATCTTTAGCATTTTACTTTTAAAGTCATTCTAACTAAATACAGTGCTTTAATATCTTATTCTAAAATCTTTTCAGGAGAAGAAAATTCTCTTTTGAAAAGAAAATATGCATTGTAATTATCTTTGTTTGAATTGCTGTCTTAGTTCCCTTGGATAGATTTAAAGGCTTTCCAAAGATTTTTTAGTTTATTTTTTTCCCAAAGATTTAAAAATTATTAGTGAAAAACTCAATTATCTACTAGTGGAAAGGAACATTGACACATGTAGCTTATAGAAAATCAAGCTGTGACTGTCCTGATTATTGAACAATGTTGTTTTCATGATATTGGTTATGTTAATATTAATTTGTATTTTTCAATTTCCTCCCAGTATGAGAATGATGTTATCACTATTGATCTGATGCAAAATTCTTCTCAGAAAACTCCAAATGATGTGGACATAGCTGATGTGGCTTATTATTTTGAAAAAGATGTGAGTAAAGTCTTCCTTATTTTATTCTTGTGTTTAGAAATGTCATATTCTTTGTCATGCTTCTGTGGAGTTAAGGTCTTTCATCATCTGTTTTTCCACTCACAGGTCAGCTATATCTCTAGCCGTTCTCCAAGTGGGTCTTGTGCTGCAATTAATGGTGTCTTCCCTGTCACTCTCATGATTGTCTATTTATGCCTGTTTATCAAATTGTTCTGCCTAGACTATCTTCCCATAATCCTTATTATCTCCTCATTGGTAGTTACTTAGTTTGCGTATATGGTCTTTCCCTCTTATTTTCATGAGTAAGAGTTATATGAGAAATGCTGTGTGATAAAATAGTTGGTTTAAGCTTCAGTATATTATAGTAAGCTATTTTCTGATGAAATCTGCAATGTGCTTCAAAATAATCTGGCCTGGGGAAGGGTGGGGAGGATAGAAGGAAGAACAGGTGAAATAAGATTGGCCGTGTGTTTATGTTGTTGAATCTGGTGATAGGTGCATGGGGCTTCATTATAATGTTGTTTCTACTGTTGTATGTGTTTGAAATTTTCCCATAAAGTTTTTTTAAGTTTAAGTGTAGGAGATTGTTATCACTGAAACCATAAAGGTTCTTGGCAACAGTTCTTTTGGTTTATAATTGGCATGTAATTTCATGAGGCCAGGTTTTCTTAAATATAGTCATACCTCGGTACTCGTCAGTTTCAGAACTTGTCAAACCTGATAATCATCACATTTTGAGGAGAAAAAATGTTTCTATACTTGGCCCTTGCCTGCCACTCGTGGCACCTGCTGGACCTTGTATGAGTCATGACGCCAGATGCCCTCAAGAGAAAATGCTTCATCATTCACTGCTTGCTCGTCATTCGTGGGAACGAATTAACGACAGGTACTGAGGTACCATTTTAAATTGCTTTTGTCCTTCTCAATATAGGTTAAAGATGAATCCTTGTTCCATTCCAAGAAAATGGACCTGCAAGTAGAAGGGGAACAACTGGAGCTGGATCCTGGTCGAACTGCAATTTACTATGTTGATGAAAAACCACCTGAATTTTCAATGCAGGGTCTAAAAGCTGGTATTATTGCTGTCATTGTGGTTGTGACAATAGCACTTATTGCTGGAATTGTGGTTCTGGTGAGTATAGAACAAGTAAAATTTCATTTAAGGGTGTATTCTTTCAAGGAAAGGTGACAATATCAAAAGGCTACATCTATGTTCCAGAATGATATAAATGAAACAAAAGTCTTCATCTTTTTTTCCTTAATTATCTATAGTGAGTGAATTTATTGTATTTCTGGTCCCTTTTTATTTAAAAAGTCACCTTATGAAGCAAGGAAGGATACTAATCTGAGAAAAGGTGGTAGCTGGGTGCCTCCCAGGTCAGTTATGTTGCCATCAAGCAGCAAATGGCCTTCAGTTCTCCTCACTGCAAACAGTTCAACACTCCTGCCAGGGTGAATGCAAAATGCCTGACCTCCCAAACGATTCAGTGAAATGAAATAACAACACAAATTAAGGTTAACATAGAAAGGAGTTAAAAATGATTAATATAAAGCAACAGTTTTTTTTTTTTTTAATTTGTTGATTTGAGAGAGAGCGAGAGAAACATCGATTTGTTGTTCTGCTTATTTATGTGTTTCTTGGTTGTTTCTTGTATGTCCACTGATGGGGTCGAACCTGCAACCTTGGCATATCAGGACAATGCTCAAACCAACTGAGCTACCTAGCCGGGGCTTGTGTCAGTTTAGACCAGTGATTTTCAACTTTTTTCATCTTATGGCACACGCAAAGTAATTACCAAAATTCTGTACCACACCAAAAAGTGTATTTTTTTGCCAATCTGACCAAAAAAAAAATAGGTATAATTTCTATTTATTTATACCAGATGGCTATTGTTGTGTTAACTGTGTCATTTTTTAAATTTGACAATCTAAGGAAAAAGAGGTCAGCACCCCTGACTAAATAGTCATCTTGCATGTTTTAAAAGTTCTTGCGGCACACCTATTAAAAATCACTAATTTAGACCAACTCTTTGTTTAGTAGCGGTTCTAGGAGAGTAATCTTTTTTTTTTTTCCCATTCAGGTTATTTCCAGAAAGAAAAGAATGGCAAAGTATCAGAAGGCTGAGGTAAATGGATTATTTAATATACATTTAATAAAAAATGAATTCATTCTTAAAAATTCAGCTTACCTGCCCCTTTCCCTAGTCACTTCGGCTCCCTTAGCTCTCTAAATAGTAGTTGAATCATGCATTTAATGTGTGCTTCCTATAAGATAGTTTCTTTTTTTTTTTTTTTTTTTTTTTTAATTAAGTCTCATAAATGTGGAAGGGAATTATATCTCTTTCCTCTTTTTCTTTTTAACTTAGGAACAAAAGATTGGAAAATTACTTAAAAATATTTTTCTCTTTTTTTCTCTCTTTCAGATAAAGGAGATGGGTGAGATGCATAGGGAGCTCAATGGATAGCTGCTGTCATTTGAATATTAACAAGAAGGGAAATTAATAGACGGACTAGATTACAAATACATGAGCATGGGACAGAGACATCTTTGAAGACGTTTTTGTTAGTTAACATATTTGTCATAGTGAAACCTCCTCTCAAAATATAAGCAGCTTGAAATTTACCAATCTTAAAATTTGACCACCAGTGTCATATGTATGCAGATCTGATCTCCCAGAATCTGACTGTCCCAGAACTTGCATTGCATAGTTAAAATTATTTATACATGACATTGAAGTGTATGCATTGAATATGCTTCCATTTGTGACTGAACACTGCATTCCTACTTACATTTGAGTGTTGTACATAAAAACCTTTTTTTATGAACTATGAAATAAAATTTTAAAACTGAGTTTCCTAACTTTGTATTGAATCAAATTTAATAATAGACACATAATAGGTTAAGAAATGCTTTGAATGCTAACTACAAATTAGAGTTTTGCTTGAGTACTTCTAATCATGCATATTCAATATAAATTTTATAACCTATGATATATAACTTCACAGAAAAATCAGTTTTATTCAGAATAAAACCAAAGAGTCTGTTTCAGATGAAGTCGCATTTTGGTAAACATTATACGTTGAGGCAGAATTTAATAGAGAATGTTGGGAACCAGGAATTCTATGGTTGGTCAAGTTAGAAGCACCAGTTTTTCAACATCCTACATAATGAATAATTATGATACAAACATAGAGGGTGGGATAAAAGTAGGTTTACAGCTATGAGTACACAAAACACTACATTCTTATATTTAATTACTGTATTATTTTCCATGTGAACAACTGTAAGCCTACTTTTGTCCCACCCTGTATTTTATATGAATATTTTACTTTTGATAGGAAAATTTTAAAAATTGAAAAGAACAACATTAAAGAAAACATAAAAAGTATATTGAAACATTTTTATCCTTTCTGTAGTAGGCAGAATTCTAGGATGGTTCCCAAGATTTCTTAACCCTGATGTACATGCTCTATACATCATTCCCAAGATTAAATTGCATTATATGGCAAAGATGAAGGGATTTTGTAGATGTTATTAAGAACCCTAGCTCTGGCCATGCAGCTCAGCTGGTTAGAGCACTGCCCTGATACGCCAAGTTGGTGGGTTTGATCCCAGATCAGGGCACATGAGAATCAACTAATGAATGCATAAGTAAGTGGAACAACAAGAATTGATGTTTCTTGAAACTAAAAAACTCCCTCTCAAAAACCAGTAAATTAAAAAAAATTTTATTGATTATGTTATTACAGTTGTCCCAATTTTTCCCCCTTTTCCCCCTCCACCCAGCACTCTCCGCTCCCTCAGGCAGTCCCCCCACCATTATTCATGTCCATGGGTCATGCATATATGATTTTGGCTACTCCTTTTCCTATACTGCACTGTACATCCCCATGGCTATTCTGTAACCACCTATTTGTACTTAAGCCCCTCACCTCTTCACCCAGCCCCCCCACATCCCCTCCCATCTGGCAAACATCAGAACACTGTATTCATGATTCTGTCTCTTCTTGTTTGATTAGTTTTTCAGATTGGATTGTTGATAACATTTTTGCCATTGTTTATAGTTTTGATCTTTTAAATAAGTCCCTTTAACATTTCATGTAATAATGGTTTGGTGACAGTGAACTCCTTTAGTTTTTTTCTGGGAAGTTCTTTATCTGCCCTTCTAATCTAAATGATAGCTTTGCTGGGTACAGCAGTCTTGGCTCTAGGTTTGCATGTTTCATGACTTTGAATATTTCTTGCCAATCCCTTCTAGTCTGCAAAGTTTCTTTTGAGAAATCAGCTGACAGTTTTATGGAAACTCCTCTGTAGGTAATTAATTTCTCTTGCTGCTTTTAAGATACTCTTTAACCTTTGGCATTTTAATTGTGACATTTCTTGGAGTGGGCTCTGCATCCACCTTGTTTGGACTCTGCTTCCTGGACTTGCACACCAATTTCCTTCACCAAATTAGGGAAGTTTTCTTTTATTATTTTTTCAAATAGATTTTCAATTTCTTCCTCTTTCCCTCCTTCTGGCACCACTATGATGCAAATGTTGGACCTATTAAAGTTGTCCCAGAGGCTGTTTATACTACCCTCATTTTTTTTTATTCTTTTTTCCTTCTTGTTCTGATTCATTGTTTTTTGCTTCCTTGTGTTCCAAATCATTGATACCCCGCTTCATCCACTCTACTGTTGTTTCCCTCTAAATTGTTCTTTATTTCAGTTAGTGTAACCTTCGTTTCTGACTGGGTCTTCTTTATGCTGCTGAGGTCCTCACTACGTTCCTTGAGTATCCTAATAACCAGTGTTTTGAACTCTGATAGATTGCCTATCTCTATTTTGTTTAGCTCTTTTTTCTGGAGTTTTGATCTGTTCTTTCATTTGGGGTATGTTTGTCTTCTCATTTTGGCCGCCTCCCTGTTTCCCTGTGTTAGGTAGAGCTGCTTTGACTCCATGTCTTGGTAGCGTGACCTAATGTAGTAGTCCTGTGGGGTCCAGTGGCATAGCCTCCCCTATCACTCAAGCTGGGTACTCGAGGTGTGCCCTTTGTGTGAACTGAGCACACCCTCTTGTAGCTGAGCCTTGGTTGCTGTTGGCAGGTCAATGGGAGGGGTTTACCCAGGCCAGTCAGCTGCTCTGCTAGGATTGGCTGTGACCACTGACCACCAACCTCCACCCTCTGTGGAGGATCAGCTGTGCAAGGGCAGGGTGGTGGTGCTATGACCTGGTCCACTGGATGCACTGACCCTGAGGTTTCCCAGGGCGAAGGTAAGACCCTATCTGTGTTTTGCCTTGGGCCATCCTGTCTGAACTATAAACCAATCTGAGATGGCTGTTACTTGTGCTGGGCTTGGAGATTCCTCAGCAAAACCAAGCTGCGAATCTAGGCTGGCTGCTGCTAGTGCCAGGCCTGGAGCTCACTGAGGCCCGCTGTTGCTTGTTTGAGAGGCTTAAGGAAGTTGTGCCTTATGAGCTAAGACCAGTTATTCATACGGAAAAACAGTTGGGATGGGCTGTACGTTGCATGGGGCAGAATCTCTGGGGATTTCCAAGGAGGGTCAAACAGTGTTAACCAGGTTGATGGAGTTTCAGATGTGACATCTGCCTACCAGCTCTGTGGCTCTGTGGCAGGTAGGTTTAGAAAAGCAACAATGGCCTCTGCTCAACTTGATGCCAGACACTTCAGTGTCTCCCTGTGTGCCAGTGCTGCCTGTCACGCTGTTACTTTGGTGCTGGAGCTCAGAGGGAGGTAGTCTGAGTAGGTGAGTCCGTGCTTGCGTTCTTTAGGAGGAACCGCTTGGGGCTCCAGAAGTTTGTTCCACCAACTCAATCCCCCTGCTGGTTTTTGCAGGCAGACATTGTGGGGACTTACCTTCCTGGCACTGGAAACCTACACTGGCGTGTCTGGTGTGGGGCTAGGACACCCTGCTCCTAATTTGTCCCTTCTGAATTTTTATCTACCACACATGGTTGCGGGACCAGCCCATTCTGTGTCTGCGCCCCTCCTACCAGTCTGGATGGATGTGGTTTCTTTAATTTCATAGTTGTCAGCCTTCCATTCAACTCGATTTCTGACAGTTCTACGTGATGGTTTTACTATATTTTAGTTGTAATTTTGATGTGGTTGTGCTAGAAGGCAAGCCATGTCTGCCTATGCCATCATCTTGACTGGAAGAATCTAAAAAATATTTTTAATAAGTATTTAAAAAAAGAACCCTAATCAATTGACTGAATTAAAAGGGGGGGTTACTGTGGGCAGGCCTGACTTAATCAGATGATCCCTTTAAAATCATCTAAAGGTAAACAGTAACAGCAGAGGTGCTTCCTGTTAGCCTTAAAGCAAACTGCCCGTGTAGTGGAGAGAGTCCCTTATCAGGAAACATCAGGCAAACTCTAGGAACTGAGGGCCTCTGTCCCAGAGCCTCCGGCACTGAATTCTGCCAACAACCAGTGAGCTTGGAAGAGGACCCAAGCTCCATATGACGTCACAGCCCTGGCTGACATCAACAATTGAGACCCTGATAAAAAGACCCGGTCATGCTATTCCTGGACTCCTGATCTATAGAAACATATTAAAGTAATTTATTATACAGTGATAGAAATTAATATAGTTAGTAGAGAATAACAAGAACTTTAAAGACAATATGCTCTGGCTGATGTGGCTCAGTGAATTTAGTGCCGGCCTGTGAACCAGAGAGTTGCCAGTTCAATTCCTGGTCGGGGCACATGCCTGGGTTGCAGGCCAGGTCCCAGGTAGGGGACATGCAAGAGGCAACCACACATTGATGTATCTCTCCCTCTCTCCCTCCCTTCCCCTCTCTCTCAAAATAAATAAATTCTTTTTTAAAAAAAGAATAGAACTTTAAAAACAATAGGAACAGCAGAAATAAGGAGCAGTCTCTACCCTCACAGCTAAGATAGAACACCTAAGGAAGACATCTTTACTGCCCCTAAGCCCCACACCCAAAGTTTGAGGGGGAGGCACTGTTGCTCTCTAAAGAACAGAGAGGTTGCTGCCATGGGGTACTGGCAGAACTTGAAAATTAGCCTGTGGAACATGATGAAAATCTAGGATAGGAGTCATCAAACCAGAGCCTACAGCTGGTCCATGACCACTTGTTTTCATACAGCCTAGGAGCTAAGATTGGTTTTTGCATTTTTAGATTTTTATTTATTTTTAGAAAGGGGAAGGGAGGGAGAGGGAGACAAACATTGATGTGCCAGAGAAACATCAATGGGTTGCCTGTCTCATACCCGCAACCTGGGGCCTGGCCTGCAGCCCATGTATGCACCCTAACCGGAAACCAAACCTGCCAGCCTTCAGTTTGTGGTACAATGTCCCTCCCACTAAGCCACCTTAGTCACGGCGGTTTTTGCATTTTTAAATGGTTGGGGGGTATATTGTGATATGTGAAAATTCGATGGAATAAAAATTCATTGTCCACAAATAAGGTTTTATTGCTTACATAAAGTGTGTGGCTTTTTCAGACTACAGTGGCAGAGTTGAATAGTTTTGACTGACTCAGTCGACAGCTGGCAAAAGCCTAAAACATTTACACCGGTCCTTTACAGAAGAAGTTTGTTGACCCGTGCACTAGAGTGCTGGGGGACTATTGATAGGGAGGTGTCTCACCAGACACCAAAGGTACTCTATAAAGCTGCCTTTATAGTTGGAGTGTTGGGCAGGCGTTCAGGAAAACTGCTGGCTGCTGTCCACCGCAGGAGCAGCATTGTACTGGAGAAGCCACCTCTGCTGGAAGAGCCAAATGATGGACAGGCCCTGCGTCTGTGGGAGCTGTGCCCTGGGGAGGCCGATGGTGTTGCAAGGGAACAGCA